ATAGGGTAGGGGTAGGGTAGGGGTAGGGTAGGGGTAGGGTTGAGTTCAAAAAGGGCCCAACATACAAAACACTTTAACACCCCGCAACTATCACCATCCCTTACAGTTCAATTAAAAACAGCTACCCAAATCTACCCAAATAATACTGCTAAAAATACAAGTCAATGACCCAAAACTAATGCACCCGTAACATAACATAAATCAAAACATACAGTTATCGCGTAAACCTGTACCTCTAGTATATAATAAACACCGACCGCAAAACACCTGCTCACATGTGCATGCACAGGTCTGGCCCACTTACATTGCGCGCAGGGGAAGGGAGGCGTCTCGAACGCGGGTATAGGCACGATTAGTGCGTCCCGCAGGCCAGAGGGGGCCTCACTCACAGCACGAACACCACAGTTCACAGATTTCACTTTTTACTGCACAAATGCTGGAACAGCCCTCGTCGCTGCTCCAGGCTGCACGGCGGCCGCGCGACAACTGCTGGTTCGAAACCCCGCTAACGGCGGGCGGCGACCGCTGATTGGTCCGCCAAGTCTGACGTCATAGGCGCATCTGACCATGTGTATGCTGACCAGCTGACCAGTACAAGTTAGGCGCCGGTTAAATAACCATGCGGCAACAAGTTTCCAAAACTGGTTAAGAAACAAACGTTGAAACAAATGTAGAGTTGGTCTGGATACTGAGAAGTTGGTGTGCATAGTAACTATTGACTCGTAGTTGTCACCTGACAAGCAATGCACCAGACAACGGCTTGTTTAAAAAGTATCAGTTGGTAAACATACCAAAAGATGATTGGTTATATTACACAAGACTTGTCAATTTGGTTTACAGTGTACGAGGGGCTTGTAAGTTTTTTTTACAGTGTACGCGCCACCTCTCTCAGTGAGAGAGGGTCGCCATCCGAAATGTTTTCCAATCGGGAACAATTTAACCCGCGCCCCGTAGGGGGGGGGCCGAAACGGCCCCCCCTGTCCTTTTCGGTCGATATCTCCTAAACGGCTGGAGATATCGCCACCAAACTTTCAGGACCCCTCCGGGCATCAATTTTACACATTCTGACCAAAATTTTTTCCAGAGGCTATGATAGGTTGGCCACAAATGACGTCAGAGTGACGTCATGTTCTGTCATTTTCGACCGAAAAAAGACCTTCGCGAGAAGACCTGTCAGGACTACAGCTTTGAAGATACAGAAAAATGATCAGGACATAAAAGGTGTAGAATTGACAGGGCTACAAAACTGCTATCTCGAATTTTTGAAATTTTTGAGTTTTGACCCCCAAAAATCAAAAAAGCATTTTTTTTATATATTCGCCAAAAAATCCAAAAAGTTTTTTGAGTTTCGAAAAAACCGGAATATATGTGATAGTGCCTACCGTCTTCTATCTACATACCAAATTTCAGATCGATACCTCGTTTTTTGGCCAAGTTATAGCGAAAAAAACTGTTCAAAAATGATGACGTCAAATTTTCAAACTCAATTTTTGGCAATTCTAGAACTCGTAGAGCAAAACGAAGACCACCATTAGACTCCCCGTGACAAGCTGCATCGAATCGATACCCATTTTATGCAAAAATATCAACTTTGAAATTTGACCTAATTTGACCTGACCTTGACCTGACCTTCACAAAAACGTGACCTAGGCTGGCCCCAAAGGCTGCCTAACCCACATAATCGCATTTGTCATGTAAAATGGACCATAAAACATGTATCACACGACACATTCATATTGTGACCCCCGGTGACCTGACCTCGCTGTGACCTGACCTGGTATCAGTGACCTCAGATAGCAAAGTATGTGTTTGACGAACAATGTACCATCGATGGTTTTCAATAAATTACCAATTTACTCGCTTTCACAGCACATTTCTTGAATTGCCTGTGAACGGTGAAAATCTGACCTTTGACCTGACCTGTGACGTCATCGGTTTGACCTAGGTCAATGAAATTTGGTCACAAGGTAGTTCCCGGGTGGGGCTATCGAACGCCGTTTGAATTTTGAAAATCGGCCGGTAACTTTCCGAGATCTTAGGGGGGGGGCCGATACGGCCCCCCCCCCCCCCCTACGGGTGGTAGGGTCCGCCGGTAGCCCTACGGGGCGCGGGTTAATGACAATGGGCGCCTCAGATGCCTTCGTTTGCTGAATTGGCCAAGGAACTGCGAGTGCAATTGTGTTCCGAAAGTGAGATGGCTTTTCAAAATTTACTTTGGTGAGTTTTCCTCAGAACTTGCAACGTCTTACATATAAATGATTTCATGCAGCACTAGGTATTGAAATCGTAATAACCAGGGCTGCGGAGTCGGAGTCGGAGTCGGAGTCGGAGTCGGAGTCGGAGTCGGTCGGAGTCGACAGTTTTACCCGGAGTCGGAGTCGGAAATGGAGTGGCCAAAATCTTACCGACTCCGACTCCCCAATCGGAGTTAGCGCTGCATGGCTCGATGGCATGCCCTACACCTGTTCGCTTGACAACACTACGCTCGTTGACCTTTCCAAATCAGATTTTGTTCAACAAAGGTCAATTCTTGTTTTGGACGAGCGTTTACGGCGAGAGCATACAGAAGACGGCGGATTCGCCAAAACCTACTTTTAATTCTGCATGTTATTTATAAAGTATATTTGCAATGCAAGGCCTTAGAACTCAAAAAGATCGTTTCAATTCAGGCAAAATAAAACAAATATCCACTTGGAACTTCATTTACCTATCATGATATGGATTTTGATAGAAACATCCGGAGTCGGAGCTGGAGTCGGAGTCGGAGTCGGAGTCGATTTTTGAAGCTGGGGTCGGAGTCTGAGTCGGAATCATCTGAAAATCCATCGACTCCGCAGCCCTATAGTAATAACGCCCTCTACGGTCAAGGTGCCAAACCTAAGCCATCAAATGCTGACACTATATCGTCGTTTCTTTTCACTCAGTTCACGCTTCACAATGACGACTTGTAATTGTTGGCCACTGGTTATTCAACAATGGATTTGGGAAAAAGTAGCTTCAACACTTTATTCCAATCCTCATTCCATCCTACGATCGATCGATCATGTTTGACGGCAAAAATTATTATCGGTTGATCTATTGTTATCTAGAGAGCCATTTATATTCTTAATGTGGACATTGATTACACAACTTAAAGTCGGAAAGCGGGCAGTATGCAAACTGCCCAAGCTTTTGGGCGGTATGCATACTGCCCAAGGGGTCGGGTAGTATGCATACTACCCGGGCGGTATGCATACTGCCCGGGCTGTTGGGTAGTATGCATACTGCCCGGGTAGTTTGCATACTGCCCAAGTTAGCATATGACCCGTAACATATACAACGCGTTGCTTTTAGGTGTCATTGAGCCATCTAAGCTCTGAAATAACATCAATGTATGGTCGAGCTTACGACAGCCACTTACTAAGCGAACATAGAAATTGATAAGCTTTGTATGCGCTGGAGTTGGGCTGCACCATGTGCCATGTGATTGTTTGTTTGTTTTGTTTTGTTGGGTTAGGCCCTTTCGGTCCAATGAGACCATTTCAGAGCCGGGAGGATGATAGGATATCCCGCGCCCCGCTGGGGGGGGGGCAGAATCTGCCCCCCTCCAGTTTTTCGCTAATAACTTCTAAACGCGTTACGCCAGCAACGTGAAACTTTCAGTATTTTATCATACATCAATTTGACAAGATCCCTGAAATTTTGAGCGAAATCCGTCGGGATTTTTTTTTTTGAGAAATTGACGTTTTAGTGACGTCATGTTCGCCATTTTCGCCTCAAAAACGGCAAAATTTCAAACGCCGCTAAAATCTTCAATTTTAAAGGAATCAAGACGTAACAAAAAAGGTTATACGTGATTCTACTGTGTCTAACAAATGGCTATCTCGGTTTTTTGAAAATTTTGGATTTTGGCCCAAATTTTTTTCAAAAAACTGACTTTTTTGGAAAAATAATTTTAAAATCCAAAATTTTGAAGGTATCGAAAAACCGGAATATATGTCAGAGAAGTGTTCTATGTGCACCTACATACCAATTTTTAGAAGAATCAGTTCAAAAATGTGGGAGTTATTCAAAATTTTATGACGTCACGGCACATATTTTTTTGAAAAATGACTTTTTTGGAAGTTCTAGACCTCATACGGAAACAAAAATAGCACCATTCGATTCGCCGTGAAAAACTGCATCAGATAGACACCTTTTTAGGCCTTAACAACCAACTTCAAAATTTGACCTCACTTGACCTGACCTTGACCTGACCTCGACCCCAAATTTATCCAGAGGTGGTCCATATCACTTATTGATTGTGCCTATTGAATTCTATGATTAAAATGACCCATAAAACATGTGTCGCACATGCCCTTTTCTATATTTTGTTTTTGGTGACCTGACCTGACCTGACCTGACCTGACCTTGACCTTGACCTTTGAATGACATTTTTGCAACGAATATTGTCTTGGTAGTCTAAGAACACGTTTTGGGCAATCAGTCTCAGACCATTCTTCGGCAAGTACAGTGCAAGGCCGATACTGTAGAAATTTGCATTTTGTACCCTTGACCTGACCTTGACCTGACCTCTGACCTACTCAAGCAAAAAAAATTGGGCTCTTTAGATCCGCCTTGTTGAGAGCTTTCGATTGCCGTTTTCCCCGTCTTTCTACGACCATCGGTTCGGAAGTTAGACAGGGGGGCAGAATCTGCCCCCCCCCCCCCCCAGCAGGGCTCGTATGGCTGAATAGTCCAGCGGGGCGCGGGATATAGGGGGAGACATTGGTCTGGGCAGGCACCCTAGTGAGTCGCCGGGGCTGAGCCCGTCCAGAGGACAGGCCACCCAGCCCCAAGGCACTCACTGCACCCGGCTACGGGATGCGCTCCCTCGGGAGCAGCGGTGCCGCTCCAAGGGAGCAGCCCGCATGAGATAAAGTTGCCTGTCCAGCCCGGAGGGAGGTTGCGGCGTGGAGGAGAAGGATTTCAGTATCCTGAGGATAGAAGCACGGAACGGTGCCTGCCATGTGAATACCATATTTTGACTGTACGATCTTTATCTCATACGATCATTTGGCGTACGATCATTTTCCTTGACGATCTTTAGCGAATACGATCTTTTGTCCATACGATCATTATGTCGTACGATCTTTATCCATTACGACTTTTTGACATACGATCATTTTCCTTGACGATCTTTAGCGAATACGATCTTTTGTCCATACGAGCATTATGTCGTACGATCTTTATCCATTACGATATTTTGCATACGATCAACTGCCTACGATCTTCTGCCATACGATCTTCTGCTTTACGATCTTTTGTCCGGTTACCGGCTGGCCCAGGTGCTGCGGGAGGGCACGCCCGGGGACTCCAGCGGAGGGTCCTGCAGCTCGCAGGTGGCGCCGCTGAAGCCGGTGGTGCAGACACAGCGTGGTGCCGGCAGGCCGTCCTGCAGCACCATCTCGCAGGTGCCGCCGTTCTTGCAGGGGTCGTTACCGGCCGGACACGGTTCCGTGGCTGTGAACACGAGCAGCGGCCGGTCACCGGGGGGTGGTGTGGGAATCAGACCGGCACGGACGGACCGAATTTATTAGTTTTTTGCAAGGTTTTGATCAGATTGTCTTGCTTCGTTTGGCGATTAAGATTTATAATTCCCGTTTCCGCTTGAAAACTACAAACACAGTCACGCTTTTAGGTCCTTATTTGCCGTTCAAGGAAGATTTCCGTCAACGGCAATAGCTTTAACAGTTGGGTATCTTCGTACCATACTTACGTCTTGATTATTCTTAGGGGTGCATTTAGCCTAACACGCAGCGCGGGAAAATTTCTTTGTAATGAACGATAGCGATCATCGGTTACTTTAGAGCTAAATGGGGTTATTCAATGCGCACGCTTGTGGGGACGTTTCTCACGTTTGTCGCAGAGGAAGCCGGTCCATCCGCTGTGACAGTTACACTGCCAGGGCTGGGTACAGTTGCCATTCACACAGCCCGGGTACGGCAGACAGGTGTCACACAGGTCACCGTGCCAGCCAAGCTCACACCTGCAGGACAGGAGGTCACAGGTCACAGCAGTCACAGGGGTCACACAGGTCACAACAGTCACAGGGGTCACACAGGTCACCGTGCCAGCCAAGCTCCTCTGAGTGAGCCAGAGGTCACGAGCCGGGCTTGCGGGTCACAGAGGTCACGGGTCACGGAGATCGCCGGTTACAGAGGTCACCGGTCACAAAGGTCACGGATCACAAAAGTCAAGGGTTAACAGAGGTCATAGGTCACAGAGGTCACTGGTCACAGGTCACAGCAGAGGTCACAGGTTACAGAGGTCACGGGTCGCAGGTCACATCAGAGGTCAGGGCACATGTCACAGAGGTTACATATCAGAGAAGGCACGGGTCACGGAGGTCACAGATCACAGAGATCGAGGGTCACAGGTCACAGCAGAGGTCACAGGTCACAGAGCTCATATATCAGAGAAGTCACGGGTCACAGTGTAATCGAGTTACAGAGGTCACAGATCATAAACGTCACATGTCACAGGGGTTACAGTTCATAGATGTCGCGGATCACAGATATTACGATTCACGGAGGTTGCGGACCACAGAAGTCACGGGTCACATAGGTCACGAGTCACAGAGGTCGCCGATCAGTGATCACAGAGGTTACTGACCTCGAGCAGCAAGGATGACGGGTCAGACGTGTCATAGGCCCTCACCATGGGCCATGAGCATTGGTGAGGGCTTATGACACGTCCATGGCACGTCCATGTGTCATGGCCACTGTCCCGTTACTTGGGGCTGCACCCTAGTCATGTTCTCACCTGCACACACCGGGCTGTTCGCAGAAGCCGTGCTGCTTGCTGCAGTTCTGCCTGCAGATGGCTGTGGTCGGTGGAAAGAAAGACAGTTTAGTTATAGGCTATAGCTGTGCATTTCTCATAACCCAATATTTAACAGGGCAGTTGCTGGGGTATTTTGCAACAACATCACTTTCCTACTGGAGGGGGACCGGGGGGGGGGGGGGACGGGTTACTCGAGACCAAAAGGGACTCCTTTGAATTTGAGCGTAATATCATCTAAATTGATTGCACTATTTTGGAAACGTCTGCACTATTACTGAATGTCACGCACTCGGCCGAACTAGCGGTGCACTGTATACCGAACTGTTGAAATCAGTTGCACTGTTACTGAACTGTGTGCAATGTGCATTATGTATTTCTATATTTGGCAGTTAAAAGGTGTAGCAAATAGGGCACTAGCATGTGGCGTTCGGCATATAGTAGGCAGGTTAGGTGCTGGAACGCGGCATTGGGGGCTAACACGCGGTGATGGGCGCTGACAGCCACGTCCGCGTTGGGCTCTAATGCGAATCGTCGGGCGCTGATACGCGGCGTTGGACGCTCACCTCGCTCGCAGAGGAAGCCCGCCCAGCCGGGCCGACATCGGCACTCGAGGGGGCCGCTGCAGGTGCCGTGACGACAGCCGGGCAGCCGCACGCACTGGTCACAGCGCGTGCCGCGCCAGCCGGGGCGACACCTCCACGGAGAGGGGTGGGGATGTCAGCACGTGGCGGGGACAGTTCGCACGGGGCGGCATCTCCAGGAACAGGCGACTGGGGAGGGAGCGTCAGCCGTCATCGCAGGTTAGGGGAATTCGCACGGGACAAATAATCCACAGACAGAAAGACATGCGACTTTATATTCACTGAAAATCTTGATTCAGTACATTTTATGATGCAGCAATTTATGAGCAAAATTATAAATACTAAGCACGAAATATTCATAACAGAACGGTAAACGGACCTTTTATAATTTTACCTCACATAACTTGACTTACCTGATTAGCCTATCGACAAATTATCACGCGGCTATTGATTTTTTTTTCGAACTAACATTAACTGGAAATGGCTGATATGAATAAATACAGATGAATACGAATAATACATTTTGCGAGCCTGGTCAAAGAATGGACGTCAATTACCTGCATTCGTTTGGTCTGGTGCAGAAGCCCCGGTCCCTATCGCAGTCTTTGGCACATATGGCTGTAACGCAGAAACGGGTACCGTTAATTTATATGCACAGTCGCGTTCTCAGTTTGATCAATTAGAAAGCACTGCGCAATACACATAGAAGGGTCGCTAAAAATAACCATTATCAAATAACCAAACAAAATAACCAGATATAAGTCATTTCAGCTTAATCTTTTTAAATCCATTTAAAGAAATTTGTTGCCGACATTTGTTGCCAACATTTGCATTACCAACGTTTATAGGTATCGTGAAACGAGTGTTCCGCCAGTAATTACATATGTTCCTGGTGACGTCCAGTCCAGGTCGAATGAAAGGTAGGGAGCGACATCAATGTCAATATAAGTTCAGCATGCATTTATATAACGTCTAACCTTACCTTACTGATTCATATTCACGGGACTCAGCATAACGGCGTGCTCAGTTGGACATAATAACCGTTTTCACGACGGCCATCTGGTACACATTTGGTGCTTATCTGGTGCAGATTAGGTGCAGATTTGGTCAAATTAGGTTCAGCATGTCTCTTAGTAGCGATCAGTTAGGGTTGCACTAATTGCTTATATACCTGCTTCGTCATATTATCAGAGTGTATTATTGATTAACCCTATTAGTGGCAGGGGGGGTTGTTTTTATCCACCCCTCAGGTTTTTCGGGAATATCTCCGAAACCGCTGAAGCTACGATGCTGAAATTTTCCGACTTTTCCTAAAACTAAATTGGACACATTCCCTGAAAATTTCAAGTTCATAACTTTACCAGGGGCGGCTCCAGAGCACTGGGAATTGGGGGGTCCTATTCGTGAAGCGAGTCATTTGGGCGAAGATCACGATGCTGCACCAGTTTTACGTACAGTGAATGAAAGGTATCATGTGATAACATATACAGTTATTGTGCTTCCTCTTTTGACACGTTTTTGCTATAATAGGCGGATCTGTGATGATGCCCCCTGGGGGTCCGGAAGCGGTGGGGAGTATGTTTTCAAAAAAAAAAATTGTTTAATAAAATTTTGCTCCTTGGGGGTGTTTTCTGTCCGAGATGGTTGCCGACCTGCGCCGTGCTCTGGAACAACCTCAGGTGAGTGTTTTCGACTGGTAGATCCTCAAATGGTTGATTAACGAGTTGATTTTCTTGCTGTTTGACTTCTCTCTTGTTCAAACGCAATTGCACACCCATTTTCAATTGATGATCGGTCCGTTGGTTTCAAGCTGACCGATTCCTTTCCGCCACCGTTCCTTGCGCCTGGGGCTCGTCACAAACAATATTTATAATGAGGCTGGCTTGTCGCTTGTCAACATATAGTCTTCACTGCCTAGGATGGTATCTGTCTCATAAGGAATTTAGGACACGGAAGTCTCCCCAAAGTATATAATTTTGATGCCTCCCTTGAGGACATAACCTGAAGCCACCATCTGATACCTGATAGCTACCCACAATTCTCTCCCTTTCTAATGCCTATCATCCCAAAGGTAATCGAGTACATCCCCATTTAATGTCGCCCTCAATGCTGAGATTAGATCTCCCGCTGGTCCTTACACTATATGACGCATACCTCAATCTCCCTCAGACCCACTCTCTTTGTCATACCTCTCTCATTCCACTACAATAAATTTGATCTCGCGTCGACCTCTCAGTCCCTCCCAGCAATTATTCTAACTCCCTCCAGCGGTACATATCAGGGACAATAAACGCAATTTGTTCAATAGACTCCGTGATTAGTGTGAATTTCATCTAGGCTTACTCTTACCTCCCAACGACTTATCGCGCCACATTCCAACATTGGAATCGTGTGTGCTCTTCCTAGCACCTCTTGGGCTCCCTGGCCCAATATCCTCGAACACCTACATCACTTGACCCGGATTACTTGTCTAAAGGTGCAACGCAGGTAGCGATTACATTATTAGCGTTCGTCGATGGGTGTGATTGGTTCAATCAATCTCTGCCGGCCCACTCTCTTCGAACACCTACATCATTTGACCCCGATTACTTGTCTTAAGATCGACGCGGGTAGCGTCAGTTATTAGCGTTCCTCGGTGGCTTATGATTGGTCCGTCAACCTCTGCCGCTCACGGCACATCTCTGTTTCCCTACTAAAACCCCGCGGCCGGACGTTGGTTACTGACCCTTGCAGCCCTTCTGTGAGAGACCGTCTTACGCGTTTTCACCCAACGAACCGGTGGACACAAGCCTGCTACCCCGACGACCGCAGTCTCACCGGGCTCATAGACAGGCACCTACTCAGTACTGTCATGCAGTCATGGCACCCGCAAGTGGCGCCTTTGAATCATTGACCGGTGTGATTCGAAAGACTCCATGACTGAATCTATCCTGCAATTTTATCCGACGCCGTGGAATTCTGTCCTGCAGATGTGTTTTCAAGCGCGTTAGCGTCATGAGTGATGTATGCTGCGATCTTTCCGACGGTGGACTTATCACTTACCTCATCCCGGCGGTATTACTCCTCGCCTTATTATTCTATCATCTTCTTCGTATTTGTCACTCACCTTGGGCGGGGTGCTCCCTCGCCCCGTCTCTCTCTGACCCACCTCTCAGCTTGGGCGTCTTATGGCGTTCTTCGTTCCGATATCTGCCTAACATACTTACTTCTTCCGTAACGTGAGACAGTTCCGATCCTAGTAGACTTAGACGTATCAGCAGAGTCAAAAACACATGAAAGTGTTGCAACATACCTCCTCTTCGGCTAGCATCCATCCTTAGATCTTTTCCTCCTTGTGTAATTCCGGTTTCAATATCTATCGACCACTTCAGAGTCACTCCTTCTGTATCTCCTTACCTGTCTGATCCGTAGAATCCCTTCAGTCCATGTGCGCACCGCTGCGCGGTACGAGTCATTTGTTTCCCGCGACATGAACACAAAAAAAATCATTGGATAGAGAAATCTGCGCCGCCAAATACTCAGACCATCTACTACTCCTTTCATCTACACGATATTTACGCCTATCAGCCGAAACGTCTCCACCGTAGCTTGCTATATTCACTCAGTGACGTCATATTCCAGGAAACAGGCTGTGTTTACACTTGTTGATCAGTAATGACGTCATAAGCTCGTGTCGTCGGCGGTTGGTACATCCTGACTTCTCATCGTCTAACCTTGGACACGCCAACTTTTGGTCGGAATTTCAACTTGACTCTCTTGAGTGTTCCCCGTGGTTTCAATGAAGCAATTCTCGGTAGTGCCCAATCATTTGTGATCATGAATATTTTTATGTGGATTGTTGACTGGCGTCCCTCGCCACGCTGTCGCAAATTTCTCTGGGGTCGTAAGTATTTGCATCAAGGGAACTCTAAGGTAGTGCGCCGGATTAGTCTCAATTTTGCATTTCGATTTAAAAACAATCCAATTCATGTGATTTCCTGTTATCTTACTGAACCGATTTATGAGAGTCAATTTTATAATGCAGATTTTATTGACATACTCGACCAGATGATTTATTAACTTGCAATTGGCAATCGACTTGTGGTGTTCTAATTTAAGGAAGCTCGGTTTACCGATTGCTATGTTGTTGAAGGTATACAAATTTTGGCAAATGTGATATCCAATTATTCGAGTGGGAACATCAGCAATGAGAAATGGTTATATCAAATCAAGCGGGGACTGTGTCCACTTCCAGTCTTGAGGACAGGTTAAACTTTCTGACAATTTTATGCTATGCAACTGGAATTGCGCGGTCGGTTGGCAGGCCGAGTTCAGCACAACAAGCTATGCTTAGTGCGAGCTCTGATTTCTCAACTCTGCCCATTCACCCATTCAGACTAAATTAAAAAAAGGCAAGAGCAGTAACTTTAACAAGCTAATGGGAACCGTCCAATGGAGAATGGTGCTAATTTCAAACTAAAATGATGGCTCGGCAAAGACTGGTGTAATCAATAGTACGCTCATTGCCATTTCTCCAGTGTTAATGGTAATTTGATTTATTTACCTAGTGGGTACTTTTGCTGGCAAACCTGCTATTATAATCTCAGTCAAGGTAGCTGTCCAGGATAGAGGACAATCCGATAGACAGCCCTTCGATGTATCTGTTCCGCCATCTGACAAAGTTTGTCATGTTCAATGATGCCTTATAAATTTCAATTCCAGGATATCCCTTTTAAGTGAAACCGCACTGGTCTGAAACTGTTTTGCTAGCATCCAAGGCCAGATATGAGATTAGTGTGACCTGAGGGGTCAATGGTCATTGACATTGAAATTCCATGTTCAATAGATCATGTCAATAGAAAGAGATCAACTAACGGATGTTACTGGGAATAATATGACTTGAATTGTTGCATGTTACTGATTTATCATCTGAATTCATAAATTTCAGTGTGTCCCTCCAAAACTTCGTATAAGTACAGTTGTCAGTAGCTTTTCACACCACGCTTGACATGAGATGACTGTTCTCCTAGGCTTGGGGTGGCAATGTCAAAGTTTTAGTGATGCGCGCTCAATCATAACACAATTAATTTCCCCATTCCTGTTTTAGCCTATAATTGTCTGCTAATCTAATGTTAACCTGACTCGCGATGTAGAGTTTGGTTTCGACTGACGAAGGTAACCTGTTTCTCCCAGATTTAGACCGTAGAGTTGTTCACCAAGATTTACTAAAATTTTGATCGTATGTGACTGCTGTCAATTTCTCCCCCTTTTTTGACCACCCGCAAATTTGTCCGCCTTCCTACTGAGGTCAGCGTGGGTCAATCGTTGAAAGAGGGGTTCGTCCAGCTGTCTTACCAGATAATTCGTTTCTCTCAGCAGGTCCATGTTTGTGCATTGTTCGCGATTCCGCTGAGCTGAGGGCTTGCTGAGCCAGCGCTCTCCAATCCGACGGGACTGGATGTGAGATCTACTGCCCACGCCCTTGGCTTCCTCTGGTCTACATTAGCAATTCACACCTTGCCTACTGATTTGCAATGAAGTATCATACCCTACTCGGATGTTTACGATAAATTAAGTGTAATTTCAATGCAATGATCACTAAATGTTATTTAGATCATTTGAGAATGTGCCCTGTGATC